TCTCTACACCAAACGAAAGGAGCAGCTTCACCCCAAATATTTGTCTGAAAGCACACCTCAATAAGCAGTGGACAGTAAGAGTGGACAGTAAGAGGTGGCTGCTCATCAGAAGAAAAATACTTCATGTTACGACCCAGACAAGGAGCCCAGGGAGTGGTAAATTTTCTGTGATCCCCTCAGGTTAAAATCTTTTACTTGCAGTAGAAACAACTTAAACTTGGAAAAGGAAAGTAAGCAATGGGGTCTCTTAATGATAAATCTATAAGAAAGAAAAGAAAGTTAAGAAAAGAAAAGAAAAATAGAAGACTCTGGTCACCACCCCTGGCTCCAGCGTTGTCTCAGGCCGGGAAACCTTGGGTGGTTGGGTGCACATGCAGCAAAGTTTTCTGCCACCTTTTAAGTTCATCTTTATCAGCTGATTGGCATACAACACAAAGGGAGGCAGGGATTCTGGGAACTCATTTCCATGAGAGACAAGGTGGTCTTGTTCCTTCCTACCACCTTTACTTCTTCCTCAGTTTTTTTTTTTCTTGGGTAATTGTCCAGCCTTTAGCTTACCAGTTTTGTTTGTTTGTTTGTTTGTTTGTTTTTCTGAGGCTTATCTAAGGGCTTTAAGCACTACATCAACAAGGAAGTGGAGCTGTGCATCCTTTGATACACTCCACCCTTCCCTGGGCAGCATTCCTTAGACTAATCACAAAGGCCCCAACTTGTCCTGGATGCTTCTGTTGAGGAATGTTTGAGGCATTGATTCTTTGAGTTTCTTACACATGTATCCCTGGAAAACTCAAGTTACAAGCCTAAAGAACTTCCCAGACCAGGGTTTCCTAAGAGGTTAGGTTGACTGAAGCATTAGCAGTTTGGACTGCCTGCAGGACTCAATGTTTAAAGCAATTTACATAGGTTTTAGGTATGCTGATCCCAGCCAGTTAACATGAGAGAGAAAGACAGAAATAAAAGAGTTGCGCAAAATATCTCCTGCACCTCTGCTAATTTCTCTGACTTGACATCAGGGAGATCCCCGTGTCAGTTCATCCGTGATACCTGCCCACCCCTGCAACTGCTCCACCAGCCTTTATGCCCCAGGCCCCTCAGCTGCGCATCGCCTGGGATGCCACTCTCTCTGAGCCAAGAGACAGAAGGCAGCAAGCAGTGTGTTCATACCGCAGCCCATGGATCAGATAATATAACCAAGGCCTATGATTCTCTCTTCCAGGTACATAAAAATCTTCTCCAGGACTTCCTAGAGTGATTACTACTCTGCTCTATCACCTGCTTCATATTTACACCATACACACTCTTATGGGTCAGATCAAAAGCGAGCCACATTGCTTTTCGTCTTGTACATCATCCACCCTGCCCACAACCCAGTATTTAATACATTCTCTAACTTCTTTTTGTTTTTCTTCTCTTGAATCTTGCAGATTAAAACTTTTTTTTCAAATATTAACTAAAAGGATCTACACCAGGATATCAGTCTTCTATACTTCCTGTCCCTGTTCATGTAATCAGATTTAAGATTATTAGGAGTTTATGCTTTGCCTTCAGGATTTACTGAACACCATGGTGAGTCATCAGCATGTTGATGATTCTCCATCTCACATCCTCTTCTTATCAAGCAGTGCCAGTCTCACTTTTCCCCTAATCCCTGATGAGGAGTGATCACACTGTACCTACAGAGCAATGCTAATTTAGCTTCAACTTCATCACAGCAAAGGGAGAAGAATTCCATCCCTGAGATGCAACTGGTGGGTCTAGAGCACATTGCAGTAGAGACATCTGGTGGCTACCAAGAACATAGGTCCTCTGGAAGAAAACTGTATGGATGGGTAAAAAGTTAACTGCTACTGGAAAAAAGGGATTGTTAGATCCATAGTAAAGACTGTGTCTGATTCTTTCATCAACTTAAGTAGGTATATATGCATGTAATTATTCCCTTAACATGAGACAGCTCAGGACAAATGAATCTCATTTGCCCCACAGAGCAAGAGTCTGTTACAGAGTAAGATTTCATCCTGTTCATGAAACACCAGAGAACTCTAGTCATCACTTTTTCCACATATACATTGAACGTGATATAAAGTAAACATTCCTGAGTGTGGTTATACCATGAACCTGTGAGGAAATCAGTATTATTTCCATTGCACAGAGAATGGGGCATAAACAGAGCTCATAATCCCAAAAACATTCAAAGTTTTGCAGATCTGTGACTAAACACAGAACAGTGCATACAGTTCCCAGTGCCCCAGCCCACAAAGTGCTACCGTGTGATCGGACAGCAGCAGCTTATCATCTTCATATCTCACTACAACACATCCCAGAACAATATCCCTATTGTCCTGGTTTCAGAAGGAATAGAGTTAATTTTCTCCCTAGTAGCTGGTACGGTGCTGTGTTTTCAATTTAGGATGAGAATAATGTTGATAACACACGGGTGTTGTAGTTGTTGCTAAGTAGCGTTTATCCTATGTCAAGGATTTTTTGGTTTCTCATGTTCTGCCAGTGCGCAAGTACACAAGGTGCACAAGAAGCTGGGAGGGAGCATGCCCAGGACAGCTGACCCGAACCAGCCAAAGGGATATTCCATACTGTAGGGTGTCATGCTCGGTATATAAACAGGGGGGAGTTGGATGGGAGGGGCAGATTGTTGATTTGGCATCAGACAGCAGGTAGTGAGCAATTGCATGTGTGTTTTATTTCTCTCTGTTTTTCTTATATCCATTTTCATTACTACTATTATTTATTATATTTTAATTTAGCTTAGTTATTAAACTGTTCTTATCTCAACCCATGAGTTTTATTTTTATTTCCAATTCTCCTCCCTATCCCACTGGGAGGGGTGAAGAGTGATCAAGTGGGTGCATGGTGCTTAGTTGATGGCTGGGGTTAAACCACAACAACTATGTAAAAGGAGGCACTGATTTTGCAAGTTAAAATATTGTTTTCTACAAGTTACATCCAGATAAGATAAAAAGAAAGTAAGGAGAAAGACCCGTCATGAAAAATGCTCATAACTGAGGGGATAACATATGGAGAAAATAAGCATGGTATGGAAGGAGTCCTCTTTGTGTTTGCTGCTTACTACATGAGGTCTTTCTAGAAATTTCACATGGTGAAGACACATATGAAATGTCAAAATTATTGCTTCCTGTACAGTCTGAACTCAGCCTCCAAATGATGCATTTTAGTACAGCTCAACTAAGTGATATCCTGTTATTTTTAAAGAAAGCTCATAGCTGCCTTGAAAACAAAACAAACAAACAAAGTGGGGATGTACTTCAAAGAAAGCAAACATAAGGGATGTGCTTCATTTGCTGCAAAAACTGGCAGGGGAAAAATCAGGGAGCTGCAACAGATCATGGACTGGTGAGTCCAATAGCTGTACCTCTACTTTGGCCAAGGAATGCCTAAGGGCACTGGGCACTTTAAAACAAACTTTTCCGCGAGAGTCAACCCCTGAACATGGAATTTTAGACCCCTAAGGTTTGATGACCAGAAAGACCAAGTACACTGGCACTGGAGTTAATTCAAGTGTGCTTCGAACAAAACAGATGCTATAAATCCTGCTTTCAGCTCTTATCCCAGCTACCTTCTCCCTGTCCCTAGCCATGCATTTCATCTCCATTCTTTCACCACCCTAATTTTATGTGCAATGTCTCCTCTCTACCCTGCCTTGTCTCCCCATTACAATTCTGAGTCCTAGCCTGTTTCCACATCCCGGCTACATGTCTTTGTTTACAGGTGAAAACCCCCAGGTTTTCTTCATGATTGTGTTTTAATCTAGAATACGAGATGATGAAACTGAGCTTTGCTGCGCTCCCTTCCACAGAAACTCCCTGGGAAGAGTCACAAAGAGAGGACCCTGTTCACCCTGGTAACTTGAAGCTGTAGCATGCTCAGGGCAAACAGAGTAACCTGAAATCTTACGGGTAAGATGCAGTTGCCTAATCATAGTCATCTAGCCCCATCTGAGATATCCTAGACTAGATGTGTCATCTGTCCTGCCTTGCTTCCCTCCTGTTGCTGCTTCAGAAGCGCTCAGCACTCCCCTGGTCATGCTGACCAGTTCCCTGCAGGAATCTTGGACACTTTTGGGGTTTTAAGGTATTAAAAGGCATCAGATATTTAAGACAACTGAATCTTTCCTGGCAAACAGATTCTACAGGTCTCTCCTGAGACTTCGGGATGCGTACAGCCTGTGAGGAAGGTTTGCAGAAAAGCTGTTCACGGGGGACAAGGGTACATTTTAAAGCTCCCAAGGTTTTGGGGGGAGGATGCAGCTGGAGGCCCACCACACAACAGAAGGAGCCAAAACAGGGCTTTGTGGCAGAAGCCTGATGAAGTTTTTACACACAACACAGGCAAGGGGTTCTGCTCACCCCCTTGTCTTGACCTACCCGGTTTGGGGGGGGGGGGGGGGTCAGCGGGTGGCTTTTTTTTGCGAAGGGTCAAGGTGCCTGCAGGCGCCTGTTCCATGAGGCACCGATAAGCGCCTGTATATTCTCGGGTTTAAGGCTCATTTTTTGATAATACGCATTAGCGGTTTTGTTTGTTTGTTTGTTTCCCAACCAGGTCATCAAGCAGGAGGGAAATGAAGTCCGAGTCACGAAGGACGCCCGAATGGCGACAGGGGCTGTCCGTGAGGGCCGGGCGCGGGGGGCCCTTCCCGCCTCCCCCGGCCGCGAGGCCGGCAGCGGCGCCGTGCGCTTTGTGGCGCCGCCGGCAGCGCGGACCCCGCGCCGTGCGCTTTCTGGCGCCGCCGGCAGGGCGGAAGCGGCGGGCGGGCGGGCGGCGGGCCCTTCCGGCGGGCTCGCGGGCTGCCGGCGCCTCGCCCCGCCGCTGCCTCCGCCTCCCCCACTCGCCGCTCGCTGCCGCTCGGCGCCTCCATCCTGGTACTTGGGAGTCTCCATCCTGGTTTCTCAAGTGCCCGGACCCAAAACAGGAAGTAAGTGCGCGGGGGCCTGCGGGCTGACAGGGCCGGGAGCGGCCGAGTCGCGGTCGGTGGCGGAGCGCGGCGGGCTGAGCGGAGCGGGAGGCGGCCATGTCCGGCCCCCTTCCGCCCCCCCCCCCCCCACCCTCACATCCCTCAGCCGCCGCCGGACTGGGCTGGACCGGGCCGCGTTGGGCTGGCAGCTGAGCTGGCAGCGGTCTCGGCCAGCGCCGCCGCCCGCCGGGAGCACGGGAAAATGGCGGCGGCGGCGGCGGCCCGGGACCAAATGGCGGCGCTGGCGGCCGGGGGGCAGAAGGGGTCTGAGGCGGGCCCTGAGGCGCGGAGCCGCCGCCCCGGGGGCAGTGCCGGGGGCCGGGACAGGGCTGGCAGCGCCGCTGCCTCCCGCCGGCTTTGTGCCGCGGGCCGTTGTTCCCCGCCTTCCCGGGGCGCTGCGGGGCGGCGGGATCGCTGCTCAGAAAGAAATTTGGAAGGCGCGGGGAGGGGTGGGTCGCGGCAAAATAGGGTAAAACTTGGAGATTACCAAACCTCGACTCCCTTGGGAGGGGAGGGGGAGGGTGGTGTGCAGGTTTTGTCGTTTTTTGCTCTTTCTGTTTTAAACTCAATTCCCTTTACCTTGATGCCTGTAATAAAAGGCCACTTGCACGAACGCGTTTAAATCTCCCTATTTCCCCACGCTGGGTGTGCGATTGGGGTATCCTAAGCTTGTGGCTTTCTTCTGTTTCGTGTCATAATCTTTCTTTCTTTCCAACGAGAGTTACGATTTGAGGTTGCTTGGGGGTTTATTTCTAAGTGGAATCTGAAATGTGTAACTTTGCCAAGATCAGGGGTTTCATCTAAAAGCGGTACCAGGCTTTTCTGCACTAGAGTTATGCTCTCTGCTTTGCCAAAATAAAAGGTTCTGGTTGGACAAGCCTTTTTTTCCTTTTTTTTTTTTTTTTTCTTTCTTTCTGAGGTCTCTTTTTTTCTTGGTCATAGTGCACTTGGGCACAGTGAACCGTATTACGCTTCTACTAGGTACCTCTTTAGCTGACAGACAGTATTTGTATGTATTTATTCACAAAGAGTTAAAATTGTTCAGCCCCACCTGGCCCTTGTAAGTTAGGTGTTGAAGTAACCTAGAAAATGCTTTTTGTTTGCCAGTGCTGCTCTAGCTGTAGATGTAAGTTGGCTTCTTGTCAGCATCATCAAAATACCTTTGCAAAACCAGGAGCTGTAGGTTTTACAATGAGATGGATGCATCTCATTTAAATTCTCATTTCCATCAATCCACGTGAATATAATAATGGCAACAATTACATGCTTGTTTTTCAGGCACTTACTGAAAGTTTCTACATGATGTTTTATGACTTACCAATAAGATTGAACCTTAAATAGAATGCCTAAAAATACTGATTTTCAGCTTAACCACTCAATATTATAGAAGGTGGATATACAAAAGACAAAGACCTCCATGTGTTGGTACTGTATTTTACATTTTCTAATAGTCTCTTATTTATGAGCATTACTTCTACGCTCATCTGTCCATCAGAAAGCAACAGAGCGATGGCTTTGTTTATCAAACATAAGCCTTGTACAATTAGGATAAGTCAACTTCTCGTTTTATTTTATGCTAGATTTCTGCCTGTTGTTTATAAAGGTGAAGTTGTTACTGGAATGCTTAGGATGAAACTGGATTTACATGAAACAAAAAGAATGTTTTGGTACATATCAGTCTTACTAAGATTTTTATCCATAGTCATAACCTTGTGCCTAACAGCTATTTTCTATTACTGAGAAAGAAAACTTACAACTTTGTGTTTTTTCTTTTGAAAGAGCTTTTTTTTTTTTTTTTCTTTTTGCTCCCCTGTGCCTGTGTGACATTGAAAGCATGCTCAGTGTTTTTTATTAAAATATCAATGGATAGACTATAACTCATGGAGTTCTGCCAAATTTGGATCGATGTAAATGAGAACAGTTTGTCCCATTGTGTCTCCTATATATTCCATTCCTGTGGATGGCCCACTTCTCTCAATACCATGGATGAGTAGAATGGAACTGTCCCTAAAGGACTGTGATTTCATGGTGATACGGTTTAATAAGTCTTAGTATGCCATGAACTCAGGTCTTTGGGTCCTTCTGTTTGCAGTCTATCCGATTTGGTCCCCTCTTACATCCCTTGTTGCAGTTGTTAATGACAATTTCTTTGTGGTAGAATTTAAAATTTGAGCAGAACCCATTTGGTATGGATGAAAGGTTTTTTGTTGAATAAGAGCATAAGAGAATTGGCACTAGTTGAATAGTAACAACTGATTATGTATCAGAAGTAATGACTTGGTATAGAATACACTAAACGTTCAGGCTGCCTTAAATATGAGGTATATGAGGTCCTGTGATGACTTTTTTTCCTTTGTGTTACTCTTGAATGAATGCTTTGAAATCCCAGTGCGTGCCATGTGATTGTTCCAGTTAAATGCCTCAATAGCAGGAAGCCTTCCTTAGTAAACTTGTAATTTTTGCTTCTTGCAGAATTTAGTGAAATATACTTTTACTTTTTGCCCAGTGTGGAAAGCGTGGCCTTTAATATAATATCATGTAGAAATTTTAATAGATTTACAACAGTTCACAGAAGACTAGCCTTAACGTTCAGTTAATAGCTCGGTATAATGACAGAATTCTGTCTGCAAATACTATTTCTTAGAAGTGTTTAATTTTTACAGCCTACAGAATGATTGAGCCCATCTGTCTGATTATTGAGAATTACAGGAATTTTGTATTAAAATGTTCAATTTTGTAACTCGGTATAAAATAATCTTTTGGGTTTTTTTCTGCCTAAATCTGCTGCATGTTTCCCAAATAAATAAGAACTGCTGTATTATGTGGCTTTAGTGGAAAATTTGTATTGGAATTCTATATTATTCTTGTAGGCAAAGTCTCTTCCTATCTGTTTAGTTGCATGTTGAAACCTGTTTAAAATTGTAATGCAACTCGTCAAATTGTTGAATTTGGTAAATGCACCCAAAAATCTAAAAAAATCAAAAAATGCTTATTAAATTTACACTGATTTCTAAGTTGCTGTCTTAGAAATTGAAGATTATGCTATCTTCACTGAATTTTGTAATACACATCCACACTGTTAGTGTCTGTGCATCCAACAGCATTCCCTTCCCCCACAAGCTAACACCCTCTTTCAGAACAGAAAATATTAGTGGTAGATTGGTATCTCTAAAGAATGTGTTTGAATCAAGGATTAAAGAAGAGTCTTGGGTCATGCATTTAAAATTAAAGCAAGCTTTTTGTTTCAAATAGAAAGCAATGCATTTTCAAAAGCATGCTTAGTGAAGTTATGAAAAGAAGGTGGTATTTTGGAGGTGATGAGATACTCATGTTGTAATTCTCACTAATTAGGAAACACTGACTGTAATTAACTTTGTATTTAACTTTTTCAAGAGTAGACGTGTTCTGAATATGCAGGTGTCTGTATTAAACAGAATTCACATGGCACATCCTAAAAGACCTCTGCGGTGATACGGCGTTGTCTAGCATGGCTCCGGCTGTCATCCAGTGATAAATGGAGGACACAGGGCGAGTCCGGTGTCGGTGCAGCCAGTATCAGAGAAGCCTGCATCAGAGGGCCTTGTCTCCTGCCACACCACTGGGCTTTCTCCACTGAGCTCACCGTAAACTCCCAAGTGTTCCCATCGTATGTCGTATTTGATGTATCTTCAGCATATGTGATAGTTCCATCATTATTTAAGTGTAAAGCAGTGATTTTTTTAAGAGCTGGAGATTGTTTCCTATTCACACAGAACCACCACAGTTACTCAAGATCTTTTTTTCTCCTCACCTCTCAGTCACTAATTCATGTCTTTGTGGGTTAGCACTCCTGTCCTGGTGGAAATGTATCTTGAAAGAACAAGTTTGTTTGTTTTCTTCAGCTTTCTTGTGTTTGTATAGTCTAATGAATAAAAAATATTGTCCAAAATATGCATTTGACTTTGACTTGACGACTCATGTTCTTTGCAGACAGTTTTCAGTTGAGGTCCAAGGCCATTAAAGTTGATGGGAATTTTTCCAGTTAAATTAAGGATTTGGCTCTTCCTAAGTTTTTTTTTTCAAGGCTTGGTTGTGATTATTACCTTTACTCAGAAACTTGAGATAGTCTAAATCTCAAGTATCTGACACAAAACATTTTTGTTTTTTTTTTTTTTTCTGGAGAGTTTGTACTTACTGTTGGGATAAACTGTTCTTGGGAGATTGGCAAAAAAGTTAAAAGTCCTGCTCAGTCCAGGAGTTACATTGAGGAGTGCTTCTTAGGAAATAGAATTCCTTGAACTATGTGCTGTGCGCAGTTTTTGGTGCTTTGTAGGGAGTGCCTGGGAGCTCCAGCAGACAAGTGTGGACATTTAAGTTGATCAGAAGAATCAGTGCTGCTCTTCAGCAGGGTGCCTTAGGTGGTGTCTGTTTAGAGTCCTGTTGCAGCTCTGTTTGTGTGGAAGTGCCAGGGTAGCAACTATTGATTGTCTGTATCTTCCTCCCTAGCTTTGGTGGAAATGCCACGTTTGGATGCATGGACCCCTTCCATGTAGTATCCTTTTCTCTTCTGACATGGCAAACTGGTGAGGGAGTGGATTCAAATGTGCAAACCTAATTACTTTGAGGTTTGTATTTGGGAGCCTAATCGTATAAGTGTATTCTCTGATTCTCAGCAAATCCTGAGTAACTGATGAAAGAATGGCCCAGCTTTGCTGTCTGTCTTCAGTTTTCAGTATTCTTTCAATAAAAAGAAGGAATGGTCTTATGCTGAGGATGGTGCTGTAGTTTCCGCTGCTTCTAGATCAGCTCTAGGTGAAGTACATGATTGGCATAATGTCCTTTATAAAAATAAATCTCATGTCTTTCAAGCCCTTCCAGTAGCGAGAACTAAAATAGGTGCTTTCAGCTGACTGTGGAAAAATAAATGCTATTGCTATCTGTTCAGGTATAGTTAAAGAAGAATCCTTCATGGCATTTCAGGTAACTTTGAGAATTTTTGCTACAGCATTCCCTGTAGTAAAAGTTACTTGGAAAGTATATATGAACATGAAAAAGAAAATCTGCCACTTTCTTTTGACCCTCCAGAATTATCCAATTTGTTCACTCCCAAAAAGCCAAGTTGTAGTCTGCTAATTTAGCTATAACACTTTGGACTTCTTTATTCATGTTCCTAGAGTTAAGGATGCCTCTCTTGGTTCTTTAAAATCAGTACTATAGCTGTGCAGCAAACATCACTTCTAGTAAAGGATAGGGCAGAGGCTGTGAAACTGAGAAGCAGATGAATCCCAAGCAAGTTATTGCCTCCCACGCTTGCATGTGGCAAGGAGCTGTTGCTGATGGTAGATATGAAAGTAAATTTGAGAACCCTCTGATTTAAAATGTCAGTGGCATCTGAAATTTTTGATATGTTCAGATGGGTAATATCGCTTCATACTAGGAATCAGTCACTACAAGTGCTTAAAGATGTGCCAAATCTTCATCAAGCTTGAGAAGTGATAAGTAATTTTATTGAAAGACTGGCAGTAGTTTTATCCTTCCAAGAAAACACTGCTCTTAGGAATGTTCCAAATACCAAAGAACATGTTCTCTGATTAAAAATTAAATCATTTCCTGCTGAAGCAGTATTATTAACATTATACAGGGGATTTAAAATCCAGGTTGTAAATTCCACTTACATATGGATATATGGGTTGGAAGCTTTGTAATGTAACTGATTTTTTTTTTTTTTAAGCTATAGTCAATCATCTTTTAACAGCATAAGTGAAAATTGTTGATAACAGTGTTTTGGCTTTAAAATAAAAATTAAATTTTTTTTTTCTGTTATTGACATATGAGAAGACATACTAAAAGGACTGAGCACTTCAAGGAGAAATAGATGATGTGTTATTTTTACAAATCTTTGCCAAACCCAGGTGCTCAGAACTGATGGAATCATTGAAAAACTGGATATTTTAGATGTGATTTCATTTAGCTTCTGCAGCAGAAAATGTTATATTTATGTGTATTTGATGGATTAGAACTTCTTTGTGGGATATTGTTTTATTTCAAAATTAGCAATAGTGCTAGTTTACGGTGAAATTCATATAAGGTTTGGGTCTCTTTGTAGTGCTTATAGTGGAAATGAGAGTATCGGAAGCACTTCGTATTGTTGTAGTTCACTGACTTCAGTGTATGTTTATCCTCACTTCATTTTTTTATACTGGTGATTGCATGCAGTTTTTCTGTTGTTCATGTTGTTTCAATATTAAAGAAAAATTACTATCTTCACAATTATTTATAAATATGGAAGGAGAATAAAACTTCATAATTTAGCAATCTGTAAGTAGTGCAGCTATGAGTAGTATGACACAACAAAGATGTTTCTCAGTCCTGACAAACTTTAGGTTATATAATAGTAAAATTATTAAATGGGCAATGGAGCAAATACTAATGAGACAGAAAGTATCAGATGTGGAAAATTCAGAGATGCTGAAAAATTAATAGCCTAAGTTTGTATTTAAAATAGTAGTAGATTACAAATGCTCTTGAGTAGGGAGTTTAGGTACTATTTGCAACTGAAAAAGTAGCTTTGAAGCTATCTGATGTTACCCTGTGCAATGTATAAGCATGCAGGATAAGTAAAAGCAGGTAATCTCTTAAACCATGGATTTTTTCATGTGAAAGAACAGGCAGACATTCATTCTATATGGCAGTTTTTGCTGGTTGGTTGAGATAAAGGAAACAGCATTGTGGTCAAAGTGGCAGTCTGGAAAAGTAATCTGTGTATTGCTCTTTCAGGTTTGAGTATGAGCACAGTTGAAGAAGAGTCTGACACAGTGACAGTAGAAACCGTGAACTCTGTGACTTTGACTCAGGACACTGAAGGGAACCTTATACTTCATTGCCCTCAAAATGGTATAGAATTGTATTGCATAGTATTTCTTTCTTCTTATTTCATTGATCCAACCATTGTACCTCCCTGCCCACAAATTCTGTGAGCTACTTGCATTCAGTTTACTGTGCTACAATTTGTTCTCTTTCAGTTTAAAGGAGGATAAAGTGTCAAATTAGGTATAAATAACAAAACTCTATATGTATGTGGCCAACAAGGATATAGCTGTTCTGCTTTATTTCAGTGGAAACGGGTTTGTAAAACCAAGCATGTACCCAAATTTCTGTAGACTTAAGGGACTGGTTTGTGTGTGATGGACTGTGGATGGTATTTACAAAGAAAATCTCAGAAAATGTGTGTTGAAAAAAGCATGTGAACTGTTGTTACCCATAACTTAGATGAAGTTCCTGGACAGTAGTAAAACACTGAACCAGACTATCACATTTGTTTCTACCTTTTGTTTTGGTCCACTTTGTTAGTAGAACTTTGTCTAAAGCTCGACTTCCTTAACAGAAAGTAACTTTTGTATGTTTTTGTTGTTAGAAGCTGATGAAGTAGACTCTGAAGACAGCACTGAACCTCCACACAAGAGGCTTTGCTTGTCAGAGGATGATCAAAGCCTTGATGATTCCACTCCATGCATTTCTGTTGTTGCAGTTCCAAGTAAGCTTTTTAAGTTTTCGTACCCTTGTAACAAATGTTTCTGTTGGTTAAAAGTGAACTCTTTGGATTACATTAGAATATTTTGCATGTTTTATTTTCAAATTTTATTAATATACTTAGGTATTATCTTTACCTGTCAAGACCCTTGGATGGTTTTGCAGCAATTGTTATCTATACTGCCAGTACTGGCAAAATAAACCTGCCTTGCAGCTAGAGGGCTGCAGGCACAGATGCATTGATAAATTGAACGGTAAGTGAATGAACAATAAACTAGATGCTCTCCTCCTGCAAAGAGAAATTGGGGCTTTTTTTTATGATCAAACAGTATAGTTAGTATTTCCGTGTTCTGTAATATTGAGATGTATGGTCTTTCTAAGGTAGAGATTGTTGTACAAAAAGTAGGCTGGGTTCTGAATTGGTCTTAAGGAAGTTGACTGAATATTAGATAGTTCATTTTAATCATCAACAAGGGCATCACCAGCAGAGGTAAAGAAGTCATTATCCCACTATACTCACCACTTGTTGAGCTGCACCTGGAATACTGTGCTCAGTTTTGGTCCCTGCTATACAAACAACGCTATGGACAGGCTGGAGAGGGTCCAGAGAAGGGACACAGAGATGATCAAAGGACTGGGAAGCTGCCACATGAGAAAAGGCTGAGAGAATTAAGTTTGTTCAACCTGGAGAAGAGAAGGCTCAGGGAAGACCATATCACTGTGTTCCAGAATTTAAAGGGTTGTTGCAAAGAAGATGGAGGCTCCCTTTTTACAAGGAGTCACATGGAAAAGATGAGAGGTAATGGGCACAAGTTAGTCCTGGGGATATTCCAATTGGAGACGACAGGAAAATTTTTCACAGTGAGAACAATCAGCCACTGGAATAATCTCCCCAGGGAAATGGGAGATTCCCCAATAGTGGATACTTTTAAGATTCAGTTGGACAGCATGCTGGGCCATCTTAGATGTCTAGACTGTGCTTTTGCCAAGAAAGGTTGGATCAGATGGTCCTTGAGGTTCCTTCCAACCTGATATTCTGTGATACTATCCCGATGGGAGGCAAAAACAGATCTAGCAAGTTAAAATACCAATTTGCAATACGTAGAGTGGCTGTTTATTTGGTGGAACTTAGTAGAAACTCCTTAGAAGTAAAGTTGTTACCACGTTGAAGTTGAAGGAAAAACAGGGGAAAAGAATGCAGCCAAAAGATTTTTTTTTAACATTGTCTTTCAGTAATTGGAAGATGCTGAAGATAGTAGTGGAAAGGAAGCATTAATACAGTACCAAATGTTTGTACCAAGTCAAACACCTTTTATTTATACATTTCGCACTAGGTCTTAGTTGTAGTCAAGTATAAAACTGAAGGTTTCAAAACCCATATTTAAAATTTATGAAGATAAACAGTTGATAAGCATTTTGATTTTACTGTGTCAAGAAATAAATATTGAATAAGGTCTCTAAAATTTTCAGTGCAAAGGTAGCAATTTATAAAACCTGTAGCATGCATAAAAAATGTTACAGAAGTAAGGTATACAACTAACTTAGCCATTCTCAAGTTTCAGAAAATGATCAGAGCTTTGAGGTGACCATGACTGCTACCACTGAGGTAGCTGAAGATGAGATTAACGAAGGAACTGTTACTCAGATTCAGGTACAGTAAAACTTCTGAATTGACCTATTTGATGCACATTTTTATTTAAATTGAAATGAAAAGGGAAACAAATAGCAGAAAGGGTTTATTAATAAGATTACTTTTAGTATGAAACGAATCTATTTGAGCATGGATCTTGTTTGTAAGATCTTGTTTGTAAGATCTTGTTCTGTAAAAGTGCAATTGAATAATTTTATGTATGAAAGGTTATTTATAGTGTAACTTACTGCCCAAAGAGCAGTACTGTAAACAGTAATAGATGTAACCCTCCACTGATAGTGACTTGCTCTGTGGTGATCTGAAGAGAACACAAGTTTATCTGTTATTTCTGTCATTCTTTGATTATAAAATAAGCTTTATAACAGGCCTACATATGTTTTGTCTTGTCACCAGTCCTAACAGTTACGTACCCTTCCCATTGTGGTGTACCATGTTTAAAAGTTCTAGATTGGAGATGCTGGACATTGTCCTCTTTCCACCAAAGCCCGTGAGATTCTTCCTATTCACTGTATACATTAAATAGGATGAAGAATGTTATCTAATTAATTCTCACAACATTTATATGTTCAGATTCTAAATCTTACTCAGGTGTTTTAAGAAATGTGAATGTACTTTTAATGCCATATCTAAAAAGTGTCACTTTCTGAGCAGTCACCAAGGTAAGTTGGTGTGCTGGTTTCATTTTCGTTAAAGTTATGTCTCCGTGTTAAATGCAAGGTGATAGAAAGAACTGAAGATCTGATTGGATGATGTCATATTGGTCTTTTCAAGATTCTTCAGAATGAGCAGCTGGATGAAATTTCTCCAGTGGGCAATGAAGAAGTGTCAGCTGTTAGTCAAGCCTGGTTCACAACCAAAGAGGACAAGGATTCTCTAACAAATAAAGGTAGGATATTTCAAATGCAACTCTCCCACACTGTGAAAAGGTAAGCTATTCCAAATGTCTCAGAACATTTTGCAGGTTGCATAAAGTAATCTCTGGTCTGGCTTTTTTAGTGAAGATATTTGAGAAGACTGATTCTAAAAATGCTGGGAGAACTAACGCATTAAGTCTTCACCCATCCCTCTTACACTTTGTATGCAAGAAGAAAGTTAGAATGCCAGATACACTTGGAGAGGAAGAAGGGGCATGCCTGCAGTGGTGACAGTGATTGTAGTGGCCGTGGTAGAGAAGTGCTATAGATAATGTGTGTCAGCACAGGTGGGGCAGACAGTTGTGTTTGCTTGCTTCGTTTGCACTTCTGCCTGGTTAGGAGATGGGGCGCTGCAGTCGGAGGGGTCTACACCAGGAAAAAAATTAATCTGTGCTCAGGTTAATACATCTTCCTTGAAGTAGGTCTTATTAGTCTGGCTGCTGTGTTGTGATTCATATCAAACAGTTTCTGGAATGGAATTGCTTCAGAAGTAGAGGGATCATGCACACCAGGATCTACTGAAATAACCAGTGCTGCTCCTAAAACTGCCACCCCATTGGCATTTCTCCCTTTCAAAATATATCTGTGCAATCATGTAGTAGCTGCTGAACTGTAGAGCTTTCCCCACCACCATCAGGGAAGTGCCTTTCTAAACCTAGAGAAACAGCTTAGTATCAAATGATGACATGATGTCTCTCCAGTTTTCTCAGTCTCTACTGTTTTTCTTACCCTGACTTTATCTCTTCCTAGGGGAAAAAAAATATATCTCTTTCAGTCAGTCCAAAGCAACTCCCTTTTTTATTAGAAAACTTCATGAAGAAAAAGTAATGATTTTCTCTCACATAAGCAAATGATCTTACCTAGTAAATTCTACTCCAGAGAGTTGAGTGTCCTGCTGAGTCAGTGAAAAAATGTGGATGAGGCATGCAGAACCTGCATGTTGGATATGGAAAATTCAGAGAAAAGGAGCTGAGCAACTCTGACCATTTCACTCACTGATCCCGAGTGCACACTAACAGTTGTTTCTAACAGCCAATAAATAATTCTCCCTGTTTTCTCTGTTTTACTAGATTTATAGGGCTTCAGAGCTCTTCAGTGTTCAGTCCAAGGACTGGGGCAGAGGTGGGATAGCAAAGAGATAGCTTGCATCACAGCACTGAGGCAGCTGGTTAGAAGTAGTGAGAAATCATGTTGCTACATTTACAGTGTTCTTGGATGAGAGGAGGCACAGAGATTATGACCTTTTCAGTAGCCAGTGGTAAAGGACTTCGGTTGGGAGCAGCACATTCTCAGCTGTGACTGGCGGAGTGTGTACTGGTGATTTCGCAGAGAAATAAATTATTGTTTTCATGTGTCTTGGTGGCTTCATGTTCTATGTTTGTCTTCTTAACTATATTGGAAATTTACTGCATTTGTAGCTGTCTCAGACATAGCGACTGACCATATGTCACAAGTGACATTTACAGTTGTGAATCAATGAGGGCACAAAATCTCATGATTCTAATGAAGAGATTAATAGTTTGAGGAAGACAATTCTAATAAAATACGTTGAGAAAAATATTTGAGAATCCATCCCAGCTGAACTTTTCTGGGGGGCTCCATGTTTTGTCACAGAGATGAGCTGTGGGGGAATCCCCGTAGGTGTCTCCTTTTACAGTAGCTAGGAGTTTGACGTGTGTTGCCTGAGCTTATCATTTTATAGCAGTCTCCCCCTGATAATGCTTTCTTTGAAGACCTGTGGGCAGGTTACAGTAATCTTGGCACTGAATATGCAAACATGTGAAGTGCAAAATATTCTTCCTTTCCTAAAATAGTTGGGCATTAAAGTTTATTCCATGTAAAGAGTAACAGTGTTCCTTCAAGTCAGTTCAGATGCTTGGATAGGGGTGGGAATCACAACTACAGTAGTAGATTATTGTTCTGTCTCTGTAGCTGTGGAAGAAGAGATTGAAGTCATCAGGCACAAGGGAAGAGTTTCATCAGTTCCAATGGAATTAGTAATAATGCCTGTACTTTTCATTATAATTGTATTTGAGTAAACAGTTTCTTCGGTGTGTTCTGCCCCTCAGCTCTAGTAATTAGCAGGCTGCGAACGAAGTACCCTGATTTTTCTGAGCAGAGATGGGCAGGTAGCCAGCACACACCAATATGTAAAAACTGGGTCACCAGCATAATCTTAATAATAAATGATCGTTAAGTATGGTATGAGGATGAGGGAGGAAAAAAATAATAATATATATATATACTTCAGTGTTTTATTGATAGACCTCAGGTTTCAAATTTTCTCTCTGAATAAAGTTGATTGGTTTTGCATTTAAAGCTTAGCTGACCTTGTAGTTACTAAGGGCATAGACAGAGATGGGTGTTTCTACTGGTTTGCCACTTTTATTTGGGAAATAAAACGTTCATTATGACTGTCTATCTTGACTGTGACCACTGGGCATTTTTCCCAATGCAAAAAAAGGAGAGAAATAGGGGCCAGCTTGTCAGAATAGACTAGGTAGAGCATTTACCTCTATGAAAAGCATTCAGGTAGGTAGCGCTGCTCCCATGTTGGGAAGTGATAAGGCATATAAGAGAACACCATGTTGTTGCCAATTCCTCAAGTGTTATTATGAGTCACATTTTAAGTCCCAGCTTCTGGAATCATTTGAGCGCATGGAAATTGCAGCTGTCAGTTTAAAGACAGAAATTTTCTAGTTGTGGCTGAAGAGAAAGCCTGAAAATGTGACTTGACAGCACATAGAGGAATTCGTGTTCTGTTTAAAAAAAAATATATGTTTTTGAAGAGGGGTCTGAGTCACAGTATTTAAACATTAGTTGACAGTTACTAGGGATTGTTTATCAGTTCTGAAATAACATCTGCTTAAAATTAATTTTAGTAATTTTAGCTACTTAAACTATTTCCTTTGTTAATTGAAGTAATGAGGGTTGTGTTTTCTGATGTTTCTGTTCTTGTTTTGTTAACTTTCACTTCAGTAATTAGTTTGTCATTTCCATTTTCAGGCCATAAGTGGAAGCAAGGGATGTGGTCAAAGGAAGAAATTGACATTTTGATGAGTAACATTGAGCGTTATTTAAAGGTATGTGTTAGAGTATGTTACCTGCTAGTTGGTGTGGAGATGCAGCTTCTGCTAGAAAGCAACTTTCTTCAATACTTCCCAGAATATGCAATAAGTGATTCTGACCAGTTCATAGTAGGAATAGCCATTACCCATTTGAAATACATAAGAAAATTGTATCCATACACAGGATTTAAGACTACTTAATGTAATATTGTTTTTAATTAGTGTACTAAATGTAACCTATTTTAAAATGTCACATGAGGATGCTCAAGTGGCTTAAGCTCTTTCTCTGAATGCACATCACTCATGAAACCTTTGGTGAAGATGAAAGAAAAAGAATGCATTAGGAGGAAAGATCGTTTTCCTTACAAAGCATTGAATACAAATTCCAGACTTCTATGATGCCATGTCTGTATCTGTTTACTATGCTAACAGGATGCCTGTATCTGCTTCCCCTTAGCATATTGGTGTCAGAGTTCAGTGTGAAAATATGCATGCAGTTAACATACTGACAGTGATAATTGCCCAGAAGTCACATTTGTGGTAGGTTTACAGATGAGAATATTTGAGCTGAGCCCTTACGGCTGATAATGTATAGCCTGGATATTACAGATTCACCATCCTTCATTTGTGGATCAAAAAAACCTCTGAATTTAGTCTTCATTGGTATAAAAATCCTGAGTATTAGTTGTGTGGGCAGGCACAGTTTCTACATGTATTACAATTTCTGACACAAAATAGTTCATCGGTAATACTATTTTTTTAAAACTAGAGAAGCTTTCTTATACTCCAGTGTTTTTGTATCGAGTTTACATCAGAACAAGAGTAGTAGTTTAACTAAAAAAAATTGTTTTCAGATAAGGAATATCTACAATTATGTAATAAATTGATATAGTACTGTTTGACAACCTTCCCTTGTATGACCTCAGGCTAATTCCACCATAATATATTTCCATTATGTTCTAAATGACGGTTCAATTTTTGCTCTTAAAATCTACATCAGATCAGACTTTCTTTTTAAATCTGGTTGTATGTTAGAGCTGCTGTGTCTGCCTGGACTCTGGTGTTTAAAAAGGCAAACAAAAAGCCTAGTGTTCAAGGGTTTGTATTTGAGGTAGCTAATTCATAAATAATCAGTTGAACCCTTGGATTGTAGTATTTGAGTTACCTAGAAAATTGCATAATAGTGTGCTAGGCTTCAGTTCTTAAGTGTTCTGCTTCTTAATTTCTAGGAGGCTTTATCTAAGGTGGTTTGTTTGTGGTTTGTTGTTTTGGTTTTTGTTTTAAATGCTTTCTTCTAGGCCCGTGGAATAAAAGATGCCACTGAAATTATATTTGAAATGTCAAAAGATGAAAGAAAAGATTTCTACAGGACAATAGCTTGGGGTCTGAATCGGCCTCTCTTTGCTGTCTATAGAAGAGTTCTTCGCATGTATGATGACAGAAACCATGTCGGAAAGTATGAAAACCTCTAATGCTGCATGGTTTTATTGGTATGAGTAGGGCCATGTATTTAATGTTTGACATGTTATATGTGAGACAGAAGATTCTAGCCAAACAGACCTAGCTCTTCCTAATCATAAGTCACCTCTGTTGGATTCTGGTAGATCAACCTTGACCATAGTTGTGTTAAATTGATGGTAGCCACAACTTTGAAAAAATTAAACAACAAAAAACCACCAAAGGTACAGAGAGGATTCTGATAGGATTAGAAGACTTTGACACAAGCACAGATCTACTGAGATGTAGTTTCTTTCTAGAACTATTACCACGAACTAATTGATCTTCATTCCTGTGCCCTTAGTGTGCCCATCTGTAAAGTGGTGGGGATGGTGCCATCCAGAAGTGCTGCAAAGGATGTTAGATTTTAGTTTTTAAAGGTAGTTGAAAATTAAAAATACCATTTCAATGCTGATTTTTTTTTTTTTTTTTTTTTTCTAATGGAAAGTCAGCCCCATGGTGATTGTGAACTGAGACGGGAAGGGAAAAATATGTGTTCATTTGAGAGACTAATACACAAAAATCTAACTCTGTTCTTAGTAAAACCACCAACAATGAGGAATTTTGCTGGCAAATGAGAGGAATTTTAAACCAGATAACCTTAGAGATGCACTAATATGGAAAATTGCATTTGTTCTTCATGTTCTTTCAAATCATTCAGTCAGATTGTTTCTTACAGCTAAAATTCCTTAACCTCTTGTTGTAACTAAACTTATAATGTGTGGTTAGTAGAACAAAAATATTTACGCTAAATGCTTTCTGTTTAAAATGTCTTTTTATTTACTTGTTGCTTAGGTATACTCCTGAGGAAATTGAAAAGCTTAAAGAGTAAGTCTTTTTTTTTAACAAGGTCACGCTACCTGGTTTATATTTAGTAGCTTGGGCAGTTTTTACAGGTTTTGTTAGATGAAATCACTGAAAAGTTGCAAGTAAATTTGACTACTCCAACTCTATCAGAAAATAACAGTCCCTAAATTAACCCAGAGAGAAATTATACTACATTTGGATTATTTTTTTGTATTTTCTAATGTGTATTCAGGACATAAGCATGTCCTGGTTTTGCCTGGCGTAGAATTAATTTTCTCCCTAGTAGCCGGTACAGTGCTTCATTTTCAATTTAGGATGAGAATAATGTTGATAGCACACTGATGTTTTAGTTGTTGCTGAGTAGGATTTATCCTGAGTCAAGGACTATTCAGTTTCCCATGCTTTGCCATTGAGGAGGTGCACAGGAAGCTGGGAGGGAGCATGGCCAGGACAGCTGACCCGAACCAGCCAAAGGGCCGTTCCATACCACAGGGCATCATGCCCAGTATATCAGCTGGGGGGAGTTGGCTGGGAGGGGCCGATCGCTGCTGGGGAACAGGCTGGGCATCAGTCAGCAAGTGGTGAGCAGTTGCATTGTGTATCACTTGTTTTGTATATTCTAATTCTTTTATGCTTATTATTATTATCATCATTATTATTATTTTCTTCCTTTTCTGTCCTATTAAACTGTCTTTATCTCAACCCACGAGTTTTACTTTTCTTTTTTTCCATTTCGCTCCCACATCCCACTGGGTGAGGGGAGTAAGCGAGTGGCTGTGTGGTGCTTAGTTGCCAACTGGGGTTTGACCACACTAAAGCAGTGTGCAACAAAGTTTTAAAATAAGCCTGCTGTTGAAACTAGTAGTGCTTCAGATTTTTACAAGCACAGTCAACGTTTGCCCTGAGCAAAGGTTATTTGTAAAGAAAGTGACAGGTCAAGGGTAGGATCTTCCTTATGAAGTATTTGAGATATATAAATTGTCAGTAAGGCTCTTTGATTTTGACTATGGACCTGATAGATCAAGGAGGGGAGGGGCTGCAGACTTTTTCTCCTCTTGCAGCTTTCTGTGGTTGAGCAGTTTGAAGAAACCAGGTCAGACTTGAAGGAAGGGAGGGATTAATTTCATTGCACCGATGGATATGTTTGGATCAATTTAGCTGGTTTGTGTCATTCACAAGGTGCCTGTGGTTCCAGATTTGTTAAAAGTAGTTATGGCTCAACATGTTAAGCAACCTGTTGTCATGTGTGGGAGGAAAATAATAGTTAAAATTACAACCATGATTATGCAGTGTTTTGCTTCATTTAAATTGTAGGATGCCTGGGTTTTCATCAGGCATTATTTAGACTTGTCAAGTGATCTCTATACCACCTGAAAGTCCTTGAGGAACTTGTGTAGAATAGATGTTGGCTGTTTATCTAAACATTTCTATTGTATTTAACACAGTAGTTAAGCCTTACAGTGTTGCTGCAAGACAGTTTGTTATTAAGCGTTTTATAAGTGAGTACCCTGTGGCTTAGCTGGCCCAAAAGGCTTCTAGAAAACACAGAAAAATTAGCAGTGGTGATAGAAAATATTAATTGTGTAGTATCAAAATGACTCCCCATTCTGTCTTTAGGCCTATAAACTGCACATTTATCCTGTTTTTATTCGAGCGTATTTGATATTTTGGCAATTTCATAACTGGATACAGTACTAATGAGCATGTTTCTATTTAGGCTGAGAATAAAGCATGGTAACGACTGGGCCACAATAGGAGCTGCACTGGGGAGAAGTGCTTCATCTGTAAAAGATCGATGTAGATTAATGAAGGATACCTGCAACACAGGTGAGGTAAATGCTGATGTCAGTAATGGATATTATAGTTAAAACTGTCACCTTTGCCTTTGTCAGTGGTGGTTTCAAAGATACTTAACTCTGAACTGAGGAATTTAAAATGTGAAATCTGGGGACATTTTTAGAACATATTTGGGACAGGTTTCACCAGTTTCACTTCTTAAGGATCAGAACACTCAGTTTAGTTTTGCAGTCCATTATCCATCATATGTTTATGCCACTGAAGCATATTATATTGAGGTGGATGGAGAAGTACTTTCCCTTGTGTTTAATGTTTATAAAGATAACACTGTATATTTAGAGTCAATTAAGAGACAGGTGTACTTCAGGAGTAAAGTATTGTTTACTTTGTAGCATATATATTCAGATGGAAGGAAAATCTAGTCAAAAGTCATGTAATTACTGTATATTAAATTGTTGCATGGTTAATTTACTTCAGCTAATACAATTCCGGTAGCTTGGACCAGTTTACTTCAGTCAGTATTTTGGTGAATTCTCTGTGGCTTCATCTGCAAGAGGAGAAGAGAAGGAAACTTGGCAGCAAAACAACAGAATTATGAATTTGTTAATCAAGAACGGATATAATAGAAATTGTTAGTAGGAACAGTTATATCTTCTTCACAAGTCATTGCATCTGGGATAAGGTGCTAGGCACTGAAGAAAAATATCTACTGACATGTTACAGATCAGAACAGAGGGCACCTGCTGTTAGTTAAGTTGCAGGGCTTTTCTCTCTTTCAGGAAAATGGACAGAGAAAGAAGAAAAAAGACTAGCAGAAGTAGTGCATGAGCTAACTAGCACAGAACCAGGTGACATTGTCACACAAGGTGTATCGTGGGCTGCCGTGGCAGAACGGGTCGGGACGCGCTCTGAAAAGCAATGCCGCTCTAAATGGCTCAACTATCTCAACTGGAAACAAAGTGGGGGCACTGAGTGGACCAAGGAAGATGAAATAAATCTGATTTTGAGGTTTGTTATTTTAGTTACCTTCAAAGGTTTGTAATACATGATGCTAGCAGGATTCCATTGGGGTCCATTTTGCTGGTTTCTTAGACGCTAAAAGCTTTAGAACCCTCCGAAAATCACTGCTGTGTTTACAGTTCCCAGAGATTTATTATTGAACATATTTTTTGTTTTTTGTTTTTTTAGTGAATGTTAGTGTTCGTGAAAGGTGTCAGATTGAAAACCCTGGAGACTGAAGTCTTCTTTATTCCACAGAAAAGGTACAGCACAGGCAGCGACCGTGCAAGCTTCCAACACGTTGCCCCACCAATGCGCTTTAACCCTTAACTGGAGGGTAGTTCAGTCTCCCTGCCCATTCAGTCCTTGGCCTCTCTGCTGAGATGACCAACAAGGGTCAAGTGTGGTGGTGGTTTCTGTGATGTGGACGTCTTGTCTACAAATAACTAAACTGAGACTGCAAATTAATTTCATGTAGGCCACCAAACACTGATTGGATATCAGCATCTTTGACTATAATTGAACTGGCAACCTGGTAGTAACTTTGGAAATCTTTTGCTCTCTCCAGTCCTCCTCCCATTTTGAACGCCTTTAACTCAGGCTTTTTAGCCAGTGGATTTTTATGTGTTGATTGTTTTGGGTGGGAATAAAAAGCCAAGACATCCAGAGATGTCTTGCATTATTTGCAAAGCAATATTCACTAATTTAGTGAATCTGTTTGACATTAACTCAAAATGAGGAACCTGATTCCACATTTCAGAATGTGCTGGTTATAACTCTTAATATTTCTGTACAAATGGTATCTGTTTTGGTCAGTCCAGATATCCTTAACTCATCCCGCAGGGTTGATTTGGGGATTTTGGTAGCGCTTTTTTTTTTTTTTTTTTTTTTTTTTTTTTCTTGCTAGCAAGAGTGTTCAATGCTGTTGCTTGGTTTGTGAAGAGAACTTTTCTGAACTTCCACAAAAATCTTTTCCCCTCTCACTGTTCACCTCTCTTTCATATGCTCCACATACAGTTGAGCTGGAGGCAATTCAGAGATATTTATAGTATTTAAACAGATTCTGGTAGAAACCAGTGCGTGCGTAACATCTGCCAAAATTATGTGAAGACTGTCTCTTACCTGGAGAGCTTGATGGGAATGATTTATGAGGAACTGTTTAATATGGTAGTTAACTTCATCTACTTTGGCTAAGAAGCATCTGAGAGGAGGCAAAAATGTATGTTAAGGACGGATGAGTGTTATTTAGGAGAAAACGGAAGTAAATATCATAACATGAAATTAATTAAGTGAAAGTTCAGAGTGAATCTCAGGAAGTATTTCCTGCCTTGGAGAAGTGTTTGGGGAATGGTTTTCCAAAGAGAAAAGATGCAAGTACCATCATTTGGAATGCTTCACAATAATCTGATCAAAGTCCTAATGTCTGTGTAAATAAGGAGAATAATCCTGCATGGCAAGGAGATGGACTGGATCATCTAACAGGTCTAGTCCATCTTCTGTTGTTTATGATTCTGCTTGACCTCTGGCAGCGTGGCGCCTTGGAAGCCTGTGTCGATTCATGAGCTCTGGTGGACTATTCACTAGCATGCCATTTTGCTGCTGTTACGTGTGACAAGACCGGAGATGTGCAACACCTCTTCCAGTCTGGAGGGTAGTTTCTAACAGGTAAATATTTTCTGTATCCTGCCAGGATAGCGGAACTTGAAGTTTCTGATGAAAATGACATCAATTGGGATTTACTAGCTGAAGGATGGAGTAGTGTTCGCTCACCACAGTGGCTTCGAAGTAAATGGTGGACCATTAAAAGACAGATTGCAAACCACAAAGATGTTTCATTCCCTGGTAATGTACTACTTGCACACTTCTCTTCTGAAAGTTCCTTTCACAAATGTCAAAGGAATAAGGCTGCATTTTGTAGTCTGCTCAGAGCATTGCTTACCAAAGAGCACATTGCTCCTTTTCTGGAAATTACTGGCCCCTGGGGTCTGCTGGCTGAATTGCTTCTACAAGCAATCCTTAAGTGTTTCAGTTGAAATAAGCCAAGCTGATGTATACAACAGCAGATTTTTGCCAACTTCTCTCTCTTTGGCTAAGGGAGAGGACCTGTATACGCAGCTCAGCTGGCAGCTCCCAGATGATGATGATCTTTGGTATGGAGGTCAATGACCTCTTCAGGTGGAAGAGGATATGTATCTGCAGCCTAACCAGTATCACCTCAGGTTAGATCTGTTACCTTTAAAATGTTAAAATGTAATCTCTTGTGAGGTGCTGAACCTTAGCTGTAGACAGAAGGTAGATCTACTACTAGCTGCACAGTGAGGAGGAGGAATTGGGAATATAAAGCTTCCCAAATATGTTTCACATAGTGTTTTCTTGTTCTTGGTTGGAGAAACCAGTGCTTGAGCCAAAGGGTGTTTCAGTCTCCGTGACCTTCAGTCCTACTTTTCTCTGACTTGGGGAGAGGAAAAAAAATCAGATCAGTCATGTCATAATGAAAGGTGTAATTTAATGGACACTTTTGCTGTAGTCATCAGTGTGGTTATGTATTAGTCATGCCCAGAGGCTGAAATTGAGAGGGTAGCCCTGTTATGTTTACCATACATTAATAGGCAGTTATTGCATCAAATAATTCATAATACAAATACACCACTGAATCGACAGGCTCCTCTGACAAAAATGTCATGCTGTCAAGAGTGGGAGATGTTTAAGCAGTTTGCTGTATTGAATGCTAGAAAAGCAGAGGCCTCATCTTTTGTAACCTTGTATACGTCAACTGCTCTCTCAGTGGCACCAAAATGTTCATAGGGAAGGAAAGGTAGGCAGTTTTATTGGAGCAATTAGCCACTTCATGCAGAAACAAATAATTGTAGTATAGCTACTGCAAGATTAATATTCTTGCTCCCTGTTTCCAGTGACACTTCTGTCAACCTCTTGAACAAATAAGCTTCCGTGTTTTGTAAGATTGGAGTGTTTATTTCTGATAGCAGCATTACACAACTAGTGACAGTGGCACTTGATTGTAGTTTGGGGATATATTATACGTGTTTTTAGAGAGGTCCAAAATTTTATGAGCTTTGCTTTTTTTTCCCCAAGCATCCTAAAATGTCTAGTTTCCTTCAGAAAAGCAGATTTACTCCAGTAGTTGACTATAAATGTATTTTATGTATGTGCTAAATTTCTAGTTGATACATCTGTATAAATTGTTTAGGTTCCAAATTCAGAAGGATTCTGGTTACTTTTTTCATCTTGGATAAATCTCACATGCAGCATTTCAAATGTGCTTCTTCAGCATGCTTTAGCACGAGTATTCTTTCTCTCAGTGCTGATAAAGGGTCTTAAGCAACTCCACGAGAACCAAAAAAACAATCCAGGGCACCAGCTTTCGGAGAACAAATCTGGAAGTGGACTGCCAAACACTAATTCCAGTTCGGGGGTTCAGCACGTGCAGATTCGAGTGGCTCGCTTAGAGGAGAACGCAGGCAACGCACCAAGCCCTGTGGCAGCTTTGCAGATTCCAGTCCAGATTACACATGTCTGTAAGTAGCTGAAACGAACAACTCGCTGTCCTCTAATGAAACCTAAAGCTTTCTTAGGTTAAGATGGTGAAGGAGGAGCGGGCACGTCTTAATGTTACTAATTCTGCTTTGGTCTTGCTATAACTTCGTGTTAAGGATTTCTGGATTCGATTTGCCCATTTCTAGCTTTGTTGGGCAAATGTAGGTATTACTGTGACAGTAGTACCAGGCAGCTGCAGTTGGAGTGCCTGGACACAGGGGTTGCAGGTGTCTGTCTGTGGGCATGCGTGCCAGAGCTTGGCATAAAACATGTTCTTTGAAAAGACTTCAGTACATAAGCCTCTTAATGAATATGCAGTATGTATGCTTATTCCTTAAGTTTCTTCTGGTAGCTCTTGTCCAGAACAATGAGTATGACGTACAAGATCTCCTTTTGTAAAATATATACACTGCTGTCCCTGCGTTCTGATGAAGAATACTGAAGGGAAGATTATGTAGTGCTTTTTCTAGTCCTGCTCTTTATTATGCAGTTATTTCTAGGCACATACACTCTGGAAAGTGTTAACTGCTGAGTCACACTGTTGTTCAGCTGGTGATCTGCTCTAACCACTGTGGTTTTTTTTTTTAAGTTGGTGCTTCCTGTGCTCTTAAGGATGAGCTTTGCTCATTCTCAAACATTTATTACTAGGTGTACTTTGATTGTAATGGTTATCGCCTGTTTTTGTAACTAGTATTACTAAGTAACTCCAGTCACTCCTGTCCAGTCACCCGACATGCAGCCTGTTGTCTCCATTGCCTTACTATTTTGCACTGTTTGTAATTTGTGAATTTTATTAAGAAAATCTAGTGCGTCAGTCTTGCTGATTACAAAATTAGTTAATCAGGCTGAGAACCGATTCTTCAGACTATGACTAGATAGGCACTTGGTAAACTATTTTCTTTCTATAATTTCATTAGATTAGCCTATCTTAATCTACTTATTAAATGCCATCTTCATTTTATCTGGTTAATTTTTTAATTAGAATGACATGCAGCACTAAGCCAAGAACTTTTTATCTGTCATGATACATCAGTGGTATGAGACTTTCAACCCGGCTTGATCAAAGCTATTGGGTTTTGATAAGCAGGCAAGATGTGCTGGTATTCTGTAACCTTTAGTCCTTTCTGAATTCAATCTTGTAATGGTTATTTTGTGATGTCACTTGCCCCTGTCTGCCTAACAAGCCTTCTTCCCCATTTTAGTCTGCTTTCTGAAGAATTTGTGTTTGTGTAATCAAAGTGAATTTCGTCCTGTGTCTTTCCCAGTCCCACGAGAGCTGAACCTATTAGCCACTTCCAGCTGCATTTGATGGAAGGCTCAAGGTTTTGAAGGGGTAATTCCTGTAAACTTTATGAACATAACTGGCTAGGTAGCAGACAGGCTACACTTCACAGCTGTCTGCTACTAGGTGCCAGGAAATCTGCAGCAGGAAACCTTGAACATGCCACTACAACAAGAGCTTCAAAATCAGAGCTTGTATCTTCTTAAGAGACCAAAATTATTCTACATTGAAGCCACAGAGTGGCTTTTTGACATCTTACAAAGCTTTGGTTATGAGATGTTTGGATTGAGTGATCTTGAAATCTCTGATACAAGAACTGTTTTCAATGCTTGCCTTCGTTACTTTTAGAATTACTGGAAATACTGCATAAATAATTACACAGTTGTAGTAAGAATACTTACAGCTTTTATACATTGCAGTCATAACACAGAGGGTAGGCAAATACCTCGGGGAGCATATAGTGTCTCACCAGTGGTAGACATACTGGGGAGGACAAAAAACGTTAAAAAAAAAAATTCTGTGGGAAACATATCAATATTAAACCTGACACCAGGATGAAACAAGTAATACTTGATCCAAAGCATATCATTACACCAGAACCTCTGACAGATCTCATTACAAAAAGTAATTAGATCACGTCAGATAACTTTATTTGTCTGCTTTTATCCCTGTGTACTAAACCCATACTTTCTTTCTTTTGCTCTTTTGGATTGTAGAATGCTCTCTTTAAATAGTATTGTATCTTGGGTACCAATTAGAGAACCTTGTCATTAGGATTGCAGCCAGTTTTCCTTTTCTTATTACTGGAATTAAGAGTACCCTGCTATGTAGTAATTATAGTATGTTATGCTCTCTACAGGGCTGAAACATTTTGGTTTACATACTTTCTTTTTCTTTTTTTTTTTTTTTTTTTCCTTTTGTAGCCTCAACCGATTCCCCTGCTGCTACTGTTGATTCTGAGACAATAACGCTAAACAGTGGAACACTACAGACGTTTGAAATTCTTCCAGTAAGTAACAGAGAACTGATATTTGTTACTCTGCTTTTTCTTTTAAGCACAGCTACTTCTTAGAGTATGGAACTGTGCATTTTCCAGAAAAGCAGTTCTCAAGTGGAAAGAGGAAGTCAAGAGACCTAAAACTCAGAAGTTCAAAGCAAAATGTTATTTCTAAAAGTGTAATTCATTAGGGTTGTGGAGTAAAGGGTGAATTAGAGTTAAATGCTTTAAATCTGTCTTAATGCCTTAGTGCTCTGAAGTTTTCCTTTGTGCTATTTTTTTTTGGTTGTTGAAATACGACATAACAGCCAGAGGAAGCTCCCAGCAAGTAAAGATTCTCTCAGTTCCATTGCACTGTAATTTATAGCACAGTTTCTCTTCCATCTCAATGTTAAGAGTAAGTTGAATTTGTCCCTTTCTTACCTGCTGTTGTACAGCACAATACAGTCCCACCTGAGTCTTAGCATTAATACTTGTCTTGGTAGCCTAAGGCTATAGATTAGTTTCTTCCTACTCCTTGAGTGCAGTACAGCGTTCAGTGCAGTAGAGATTGGCTTTGTTTGTTTGTTTTTCCAGGGGAGTTAGACTAGTTCGTGTAAATAAGCATGCTCTGAGTGTGGCCCAGGAAGGCGGTGTGTTTGGGTACTAAACTTGGGTTGTCTTTTGTAGTCTTTCCATCTGCAGCCAACTGGAACACCAGGTACATACTTGCTACAGACAAGCTCAAGCCAAGGCCTGCCTTTAACACTGACAACCAGTCCTACCATGACCCTAACGGCTGCTGCTGCTCCAGCCTCCCCAGAACAGATCATCGTTCATGCCTTATCGGTAGGTATTTTGAGAGGTGAAAACACTGGAGTTTGGGCAGTGGGAACATAATAATGCAGGCCTCTGTATGTGCATGTTAAATTTGCAAAGCAGTTCTTAAGTCATAACAGTGTTACTTTGCTTAAAGAATGAAAACTTTGGGGGTTTTTGTATCGTTTTTAAAAAGCAACCTCAAGTTGCTTCAAAATTTAGCTTAGTAAGCAATTTAGTTCCTACTGTAGCTGAACATGATGTCTCCATCTAGTGGCATGTCCCCCAGCAAAACAAAATACTAGTTTCCTGATGTTGCCATTTACTCTCGCAAATGAATATTGTATAGCAAAACTTGTATAGCAGTGACAGTATTACTTTTTGTTAGGGGGAGGGAAGGGGAAGCAAACTGGAGGTTGAATAACAAAATTGATGCAAAATTCAGGGGAAAAAACTCATCTTTTAAATCTGCAGTGATCCTCACCTGGACAGTTGCCTTTTTCATATTATATATTTATTTGTGACTGAAAGAATAAAGAACAGTTGACACCAAATTCAGCCTACAAATTCATAATTTAAGGCCAGGAAAGGTCAACAGATGATCTGGGCTGACACGCTTTATATGTAAAACTCTAAATTACACTTAATAATGAGTTCTTTGAATCCTTTTGCTTTTATTTGCTGAAAGATTTGAAGATACTTGGAGGAAAGTTTCTGATGGTTTTTGTTTTTTATTTCTGTCTCTTCTTGCAAATACTGCTTACAGCCAGAGCACTTGCTAAATACAAGTGACAATGTCACGGTGCAGTGCCACACGCCAAGTGTCATAATCCGCACCGTTGCTGCTGAAGGGATCTCCTCCTCTGTCACTCAGGCAGAGCTTACTGTTGATTCAGATATTCAGTCAGCTGACCTGACAGATCCTCCCAACACCCTAGAAACAAATACTTTCCCAGATGATATCCATCAGTCCAAGCTGAGTGATGAAGAACAGCCAGCCTACAATGAAGATGATGCTTCCAAATTCAGCAGCAGGAATAGTAGTGAACTGATGGATGGAGTTATGGTAAGAACCGAGGAGGAAATCTCAGATGCCAGCCTGAAACGGGAAGAGGATCCTCACTCTGATTTACCCAGCACTTATGTTACTGAGGTAAGGAAGCGCATGATATTTGAATGACTTCACTGCATCTTTGACCTTTATGTTAAGCCATTCGTATGAAATATATCAGCGATTTCATGCATATTCTAGTTCTACAAGTATTTTGTTCAGATTCTCTACCCTTGAGCTTCATTAATGTTATGGGCATGAAAGTGATAGCATTTGATTTGGTACTATGGCTTATATTTGACTTCACTTGGAGCATTGAATAGCTCAGTAGCTGTGGAGTTTCTTCACCACTCAGGGAACTTTTGCATGAAGACTGTGGAAAAGAGTTGCCTGCATCTGATCACTAATTCATGCTGTTGCTTTAAACTAAGCTGTTAATTGTGCAACACGCATACTTTAAAGGTAGATAGGCTGTTGAGCAAGCAAGGTGAGGTGTAGAGTATTTAGGTTTTGCTCTGTGAACCTAATAACATATTTTGAGGTGCACCACAGTTTCCATTTTTGAGGGCTTCTATTAAACGCACTACTCCGGTTACGTATCTGTTAAACTGGAATTTGAAGATTTTAAGGTATTTCTCTCTCTGGCCTTAGTTTTATTCCGCTCCAACACCTGAGATGCAGAAATTATTTTATCCAAATGATTTCAGGTATTTGGATTGTTCATACTAAATCCCTCTGTCTTTCAGTTGCTGGAACTATGATAATGAGTAAGTCAAGGAAAACAGAAATGCTAAAAACAAGATAATTGTTTTCAGTGGGTAGAAAATACCTCTTTCCTTAGAAGCTTGATTAGGTTAGACTGTGGGAAGAGATGAGTTAGATTCAAATACTCGGTCCTGTTCTCTAAACCACTGTTGCTCTACAGTTGTTGTAATTCTGCTTTATCAGTCTCGAAAATCCATTGTTGATATGTTTTGACTTCGTTAGGCTTTGTCTTTGAAAAAGTTTATAATAGACAATGCGTATCCATTATGCTCTTACAAAGAGAAGGATCTCTGTACATCTCAACAGCTTGCTACTACAGAACTGTTTGAATCCTGAATACATCCAAAGTTAGGGATTATTCTTCCGTTTTCCTCTCTCTTGTCTCATGGTTGACATAGTTGTGATAAGATTCTCAACACTTGAGGTAGCCCATCAGCTTAATACTCAGTTTAAAATTTCAGCTTCTTGAGGTAGAATTAGTAAACTTTTGCTATAAACCTAGTTCCTAATTAAACTAGAAATCACTTACAGCTAGCAGGGTATAAAGAGGTACTAAACGTTTTTTTTTTTTTTTTTTCTATATAGAAAAACAAACTGAGTTTTTAATTCTAATTTGCCTTACACTTCTAGTCAGATTCAAGTTTGACATGTGTATTTAAATTCTAGGAAATAGTGAACTGTCTGTGTGTGATTCTAAGTGATAAGTTACTCTAGAAAGACATGCCTAAATTTTGCTTTCTTTAAGTCAGTGTTATTTTTATGCACTTGCCAGTATTGTATTGTCACTGTGGGTGTGGGTAGTGGGAAGCAGGCAGTCATGCTGCAGGGTTTTATTATTTCTGGCTGGGAAAGGTGCCCATTTGCCACAATAGCTTCTTTAGTTTTTCACGCCTTCTCTTTCCAGTTTCAAGCCTTACGACATCCTGCTTATCGTGGGCAGGTTCAGCTGTGCTCTCTGCAGAAAGCTGCTTTTGCAGGTCGGGCATACTGTGCCTTGCATGAATGGGTGCACATTTGGACCAAGTCTAACTCACTGAGCTGCAGCACAGTCAACTCCTCTTCAGCAGCACCAGGGAAGGGGTTTTCAGACAGGTGCCTTTGCAAAAACACTGAAACTGCATACAGAAACAGATTTTCCTAAAAAACTAGGTGGAGGAACTTCAGGATTTTCTTAAACAGAGAGGGCTGTAACTTCTCCCAAACATTTCCTGCTCCCTCTGAACACAGTGATGAATCCAGGTACGTTCCATTCCCCCAGCAACATTTGCTAATGTTCTACATCAGTGATTCCTGAAGCGTGAACAAACTTTATGCATATTACACACAAAAACTGGAATCCAAATATTCCTGCTTGTTCTGGCAGTACTATCTAGGATATCTTTTCACTGCGTTTACAGAACCAGGAGTCCGCTGGAGTGTGCTGTGACACTAAGCCAGATGTATTACTGCCATTCCAGCACTACAAGAGCCAGAGAATAGGCAGCAGCAGCTGTTACAGAACTGGAAGAGAGCAGGGGTATTGTCGACTTGTATGTTGCCAATTTTTTTGATATGATGAGGTTCAGTTAAAAAAGTTTGGAGCCAGCCTACAGTCAGCAAGTGACAGGGCGAGCAAGGCACAGTAATTAAAATGGGTCTCTTGAGCTCTGTGTTTGATAGTTAAAACTTCACACAGAAGTAGAAGTTGTGAAACTAAGCATTAAGTTCAGGTAAAGCTGTTGCGTTTGTGGAGCTGGTAGGTACTATAAAGGTACTGCTTCAGTATCTCAAAGCATACAGACAGCAAGTAGTGAAAACGCGTAATTACTGCTTTTTATAGACAAAAAATTTGACTTACAGGAGAACATTTTATTATGCCCTTGCAGTCTCCTTTCCTCTCCCCCTGCCCCCTCCTATTGCTCACGCGATAGAATTCTTCTCATCTAGTTTTTAGACACCTGCACTAGGATGAAACATGCCCTATAAATGGTGAAGTAAACCAGCTCAGATGCTGACGGTTCGATTTAGTGAGATAAAATTCATCCAGAGAGTCTGTTGCTTACTATGGAGTAGGGCAGAGCAATGCACAATTTTCTGTTTATGCTACCAAGAGTACACTCTCATGTCCCGTTCTTCTGTGTTGTGCAGGACCTGGGTTCTCCAACGATAGAAGAACAAGTTGATCAGCCTACAATAGATGATGAAACTGTACTTATTGTTCCTTCTTCCCATGGTTTTATCCAGACAACAGATGATATAGACAGCGAATCAGTCTTGCCCCTGACAACTCTAACAGGTACAACAGACCCTTGGTATGACTGATGCTGGAGCTAGGATTCATTAAGGCAGTATGGCACTTCTGAGTTCCTGTAAACAACGCTTCATATATCCTTGCTTTCTCTTAAGTAATTTTCCATGTCATTGCTGTGAAACTTTAAGCAAGTTGGTTACCCAGCTGGTATCAGTAGAAGAAAGTCCCACTTAACCTTGTGGGAAAAGCATTAGAACAGCAGCTGCTTCATCACTTGCTGAGCTGTTTCCATCACCCTTGAGCCTCGAATTAGTACACACAGGGTAACAAGTAACTTTAATGTGCATTTCTTCACGCCTGGTGCTTGAATTAAATTTGTTTCTTATTTGAGAGAAGACCAGAAACATCAGAAATGCACTTGATGCCTCTCATGGTGAGGGGCTGGGCTGTTTGGGGGTGTGTTTGCACAGCACTCACCTGGAAGGGCTTGCTGGCTTGTGCTACGCTTTCCAGTGCCAAGAGTCACTTCAGGCGTGGAAGCAGCACAGATATTCTCACACTGCTGCACCTAACAAACGCTCCTTTCCCAAGGAAGGATTTCCTTGCAGAGCCATCAGAGGGCCAGCACTAGGCCTGATACAGTAATACCTGACGAATCCCACTGTGAGTCACACCAGTTGCATCCATATTAGTTACAGCTTACCTTGAAACAAGAAATTGAAAACTGCGTGGTTTGAGCTACATTGCTTAAAATGAGTTAAAATTCCAGGCTGCATTTTCTGTTTCCTGAGTGTGTAATTTATGTCTTGGTGTAATGGCACAATAAATAATAGTTCTAATGTACTATGTCTTTTGACAGATCCTATCTTACAGCATCACGGAGATGGGTCACACATTATTGGCTCGTCATTGGGCAGTCCTGACTCAGAAGATTCGAAGGATGTTGAAGATTTAGTGAGCTGTCACTGAGAAGCAGTAATTGTGTCCATTTTCTATTGACCATGTTTGCATTGTGAAATTAGTTACAACCCAGTGCCACATTTCCAAAGCAAGCAGTCAGTCTGTATCTTTAAACAGAAACTTCCAGTTTGAAATGACTACAGTGCACTTTCTCTGCTCAGGCTATTTACCTCATTTGTCAAGGGTTACAGAGCAGCCAACCGAAGCCTGATGTACTGCGTCTCGGCCGGTGTGTTTCAGTGTTCAGAAGAACCTCTCTCTTGCAGTGCTCACTGCTACGATCCACGTGGTCAGTTCCAATCTGACTTGTTACTGGTGTGCTGAACCGCACATCTGGGAAACTGGACAGAAGTCAAGGATTGTGGACTGTAGCCTTTTAGTGCCACAGCAAGAATTAGTTTGCACATGTCTCATGAAGAATGGGTGAGGATTTCTGCACTTACTGACTCTTGTAATACATGGAGTAAGAGACTGTTACATTTCAGGAAGAAATGTATTCCATCAAGGACTTCAGGGAGCATGGGCAGCATCATGAAGAAATGGTCTGTACTCCCAACTCATCTGGCTTGTTAGTACGGCTACGGCATTGGAAGAAGATGCAGATGTTTATGTTCTGCTTGTTCCTGAGGAGTCCGTTGCTGGCAACAGACAGAACTCAGAAAGATCACTTGCGGGAAATCTTTTTCTGTTTTTTCTTTTCCTTCATCACTACAGCAAGCTGAATAAAAAGGGAAGGGCTATGAGAAAGGGAAGCTACTGGGACGCCCCAGCCTCCCTCCACAAGCTTGTAACTTCTTTGAAGGTTTTCGTGGGTGGGCTGGAACATTTGTGTCTCTCGCTGTTTACATGACACTACCAGCCAGCTCTCCAGAGGTGATTTATGCAGCAGGTTAGTAGATGGGGGGTGGTGTGGAAGTGGCAAAGTCTTGGAGAAACAAACAGCTCTCTGAGAATTTGGGCATAGGATCCCGAGGTAAAGGAAGCCAATTAATTCCTACATTCAAGGGTTTGAAACAGACACTAGGCTGAGCAGCAGCCTGTTAGCTAGGAATTGAGAGAAAAAGCTATAGAAACTAAAGACTCATGTATAAATTATTTTATTTATTTCTGTAATTAGCTCTTCATAATCAAGAGTTGGTCTTTTTCAGTCTGTGGTTTTGTTAATGTGAAAAATAAGTTGTAGTTTCAAATGGTTGCCTAGGGAACAGAAATAATTGTATATTCAGTTTAAACGAAATAAAGAGTATTTGTCGTACGTAACTGTAAGATGCCATTTATTTATACTGCTACAGACCCTTGCAATGCTGCAGTTTATTTGTACAGTAATAAAAAAATGCAGTTTTTTCCAAAATGAAAAAGCTTGTGCCATTCTGAAACATCAGTACAACTGGAATGTTCATTAAGTGCAACAGTAGCTCTTCAAAAAAAAGCAGAATGTCACATCTTATGGCAATAATTCTCCCCAACAAGAGGGACATTACATATACATTTACATGAAAATCATGTACTGATTTATCCTTGCACAACCCACTTCTTTCCTCTCAGGCTGATTGTCCTCACTTAAACGTCTTGGATAGAGCCGAGCTGAAAGCAGTCTGACACAGTAGCATCATCCCTGGGAATACCCCATATCCATCATTTACCCACTTCATGGAAGTACAGGTTGGCACATATACATAACATGACGATAGAAAATAATATATAGTAAATTAGGTTCCTAAATTTAGGTTCCAGGTCTCCTTGTCGATACCAATAGATCTAGAAGAGAGGAGGAGTTTGTATTAATTTAAAATGCCAGGTACTTCTGAGGAAACATGGCAACTGGACTAGCTACTTCTTGACCTTTGTTTTTTTTTTTTTTTATGTAAAACAACCCAGTTTATCTGACCAGAGAAGACTAGGTGTAGAATCCAGCTAATTTTCTTAACAAGAAATAACACCTCTTCCCTTAGCATGCTGGTGGAACACCCAAGAATTTGGCAAGGTGTTTCTCCCCAGAACAAGACTGGTTGTGAAACCAGGGTGCCAGGTTAACTGTGAAGACACAGGTTGTCTTGTCAGCTTTGTTGAAGAGAGTGGGTGGTTTTTGGTTTTTTTTTTTAACACTCCAAACTGGCTACACCCTGGTTGACGAGGACAAACATCAGGTTTTTGCACTACATGCTCTCTCGCGGGCAGTCATGGCTACCAGCCACAGAACCAGAAACTGTCACGGCAGAGCTCCCTAACCAGCAGGGGCTCGGGGCTGCGACGGCTCCAAGTCACAGCTGGAGGCAGGAGAACGCTCCCAAGCACGGACAGCTACAGCAGAGGAAGGAGCCACTGCTGTCCCTGCCCCTGGCAGGGGAGTCAGACTACATGATCTTTGAAGGTTCCTTCCAACCCAAACCATGCTCTGAACTCTGACCTGCCAGTTCCCTTTGCCGACGCCTGGGACGCCACAACTGTTGAGTGGAGGAACCTCAGCTACTCCCCCGATGAAATGCCACCCGCTGTCGCTTCCTGCCGCTCGAACTCGTCCCCTCTGCCGGAAAGGTCGCCAGCTTCTGCAAGTGCCTGGCTGGCCCCACCACTTCAAGGGTTTTGCTGCACCCCTAGTCTCCTGCAGCATGAGCATTCCCATCTCACTGCTCTGCTCCCCGGTTTCCTACTTTCTGTCTCCACTGGCAGCTACAGGTGGCACTGTCAGAGAGGTGACAAGTCTTGCATCACAGCTGGTCTGCAGAAGTTGGCTTAGTTCACATGCTTACTCTGCAGCTAATAGGAAACTGGTTGCCACACTTCCATTGTCAACCTGTTTTATGGAGGCAGGAAAGCTTTTCTAGGAGAGTGTGAAAAAGAAGGCGGCACCACATAAAGCAGATTTTATTCGGATTTCATCCTTACTCATAGACTCAAAAGCTTGCACAGCAAACGTGGCGGTACTTACAAGTATGCCAGCAGAAATGCAACACAAGGAGATGCAGAAAGCAAAAAATATATTCACAGGTTTTGGAGGTAGTTGCGGGAAGACAAAAGCACTGATTAGAGTGACCTGTATGGAGGAAAACAAAGATGAAGGCTTGGCTCTCGCCTGCTGTCAGAACTGCGACGAGAAGGGGCTGGCCCCGACAGCCGGCGTACCCCAGCGCGCGCACCCAGCGCTGCACGCCCCTCCCTGCTCTTCAACTCCCACCCCATGGGACGCCGGAGGGAAACGTACAACTCGGGAGGGAAATCGCTTTGACACAACTGCAGACTTGGAAGGATTGGGAAAAAAAAAAAAAAAAATGACAGAAGCTTTGCTACTCTGGCTGCTTGCTGGAAACCATCCTCCAAGTACCCAAACAGCCAGCAGGCACGGGGGTGCATGCTGCCCGTGTAGGAGCATCTCTTCAGCCCAAGTTTCCACCAGCTGCACCTTGGCTCTCCCTACACCTCAGCTCTCAAATGATGCTGCCGTCACGGACTGCAGAACCGGTGCTCTCCAGTCTCAATGGCGCTGGGTTTGTCTTCAAAACTTGGGGAAAGCAGAGCTTGAGACAAAGTGACAAACTTTGGAAGAGCTCCTATGGGCCGTTAGTGGAGGGAAATAAATCATAACTAGAAAGAAATAAAGAGAAGCAAACACATTCTCCCGGGTCATAAGGACTTTGTCATCCTACCCAGCCTCACCTTCAGCCAGGATGGACAATCTGCCCAGGCTCTTGGGGCTTTTTATTGCACAGCCAGATCTTAAAACATGGCTTGAAGAAAGGTATTCTGCTTCTCCTGTTGTCAAAGAGTTTCAAAAGACAGGTGCACCCCAAAGTGACTGCCTGAGCCTCAAACTACAACCTGTTCAGTCAGTGGAGTTTCGCTGCCCGCGTTGGGGAGGAACGCTGGTTTTCACCCCGTCACCTAAGGGAGGCACAAAACATGGGATGGGGTGGGGGATACTTACTACAAGCAGCAAGGATGTTAAGCCGCCAACAACTAGGTTGATGACTCTGTCCTGAAGAAAAGAGAGGACAGTTACACGCACGCCTTGCCAAAAAAAAAAAAAAAAAAAAAAAGCAAACACAGAAAACAGACTGTTAACCAGCAACACTGACAGCACCACATCAGCCCGGAGCCACATTATCCCCAGCAGCACCATCGAGGCTCCCTGGCCAGCTCTGCCATGCAGGAAGTTTTCCCTTTCTCCAACTCCATGGACCTCGGGGAGGTTGTACTGAACAATTCCTTGTGCAGCAGGTTTGCTCATTTGCAACTGGCTTCTTCGCTACGTCCGAATCAATTACAGATGTGCAAATCCTTTTTAGAAAATTTTAAAAAGTGGGAATGCACAGATGGAGGTTGTCAGACAAAGCTTATTTTAGTCTCAGTGTCTGAGAATGAATAGCTTGATAGTGTCTTAGGTTGGAATTTGTGGGCAACTAGCAAGGAGGTGAAGTGTTCTTCACACCCCAAATGTTCCTCTCTAACACCAGCAGACCTGAACACGCCTCAGGGTGGCCCTGCTTCGACAGACAGATATCCCCCCCAACTTCTTTCTGCTGCTCCCCATCTGTATAAAACACGTGGCTGGGAGGAGACAACTTCTTTGTAGCTGGGAAGAGGCATCCCTTGGCATCAGCATCGCAATCCCACCCCAGACAGGAGCTGGGCAGGGACGGGCAGCGACACGGGGTTGTGTGACTGTGGGCTCCGAGGAGCGCCCAGGGCAGGAACCTGCACTGACACACTCGCTGGAGTAAGAAATTACTTGATACAAAAGGAGAGCATTCCCATCCCTGTCAGGATACCTGCCTCCTCCCTTTCGTCACGGTGCTGCTCTGAGTATAAACATCTATCACCAGAGTCGGGCTGGGTTGCACGTAGTCAGGTGTAACAGCCCAGACGGGTGGCTCCCCAAATAACATGCTAGAAGAACAGCTACAGCAGAAAAGATGTGCAGAGAGAAAAACCCCAGAACGTCAGTTAATTATAATCAGAGTCATGTAATGGGTACAGTTAAAGGAAAGTGAGGAAAGAGTTGGAGCACTGAAAGCATCTTGCCCAAGGCACCCCAGCCAGCAGGCTGGGCAACTCAGGTTTCCCTCAACCCAGTCTTGCACCCTTCTCCCCTCCTAGCATTACATTTTGGAAGACAATTTGTAGAGCGAGAAGCCCCGGGTCATGAAGAAGTAATACATGGCAGCAGTGGGGCAGGAGGAGGAAGCAGAGAGCAAAGAGAAGGAGGCAGAGAGCAAAGCATGCTCTGGCAGGAGAGCACCAGCCCTGACCTACGGCTCGGTGGAGCTCGGGCTCAGTCACAGGCGGATGCTGTGCCCTGGTCATGGGGACCACAGCAAGCAGACTCTTTAAAACCTCTTCTATTAGTCCCCAACTCCTCTATGTAAAACCAGACCACTTCTCCTACGGCTCAGAGGCCCCAGGCCATGGGGGCACGGTGGTGGCTGCAGCCATGGGAAGTGACCCACCTCCGTAAGAAATCGCCACCGACACCCCCTGCGCAAGGTCCTCGCCAGCCAGGCACAAACCCCGTCTCCTCACCGGCATTTCCGCACGTGATGTTGGCGATACAACAGCAGCTTCTGGGAGCCACCTACAAGGTACCCACCACTGACCGCAAAAAATGAGCTGAGAGAAATAACTCCAGGCAAGTATCAGAAGCAACGGGGAGATATGCAAACATGCTGCCTCCACGAGTGCCTATCACGACAGCTCAGCTGGGCTCCTCCACCTAAACTGAAATAAATTAAAGAACTCAAAGCTGACTTTAATCTAGATGGTATGCAGAGTCCTTATCCCCAAAAGCAACTCCAGTATCAGGAGAGGACGGCAGTTTTGCTCTGCCCTTGCCCTGCAGACCCAGCTGAGCCCACCAAGGTGATTTTACGGAGGGGGAACAGAGTTTGCATTCGGGCTTGGCTCCCCAGGGATGAAAGGGGTGGCAGGAGGTGAGCAGCTGGATCCCTTCTCCCTTTGTGCCACAGGGAGATGGGTTTCAAACAGCAGAGGGAAGGGCAGGAAAGCCAAGAGCCATCCCATACAGTTAACCCGGTGAGTGCAGTCACAGCCTGCTCTCCGCTGACAGCCCGGCAGGGATGGACACACGGTCACATACCTACGGACAAGATACCCCATCCAGAAACTCAGCCATGATTAGGTTTCTCCTAATTAACTAGAGACATGGAGGGTGGCAATTCTAAGATAGGGAGAATTCACCCGTTTTGCCAGATCAGAGAGAGGTCTGCCAGGAGAAAACGAGGGGGTTGGACTCGGTGGTGACCACG